TGCTAGCGATAACGGGTACCATAAAAATCGCAAGCAAACTGTAGGGAAAAATGAATGCGAGCCAAACGACGAATCGGATGCACAGCACTTTGCAATGGCAGATGAAAAGCGCAAACCAGAAAGTGATGCCAGGAAGAATGAAGCTGCTCCCTCAAATCCGTTTTCGAGTCAGGATAAAGGTGGAACTCGAGAAGCACTCGAAAATGCAGTGAATGAAATCAAGCTACACAACGGCTGTAATGCATCGATGCTAGAAGAACAGCGTAAGAAACAGTCAAAATCACTTTTTCAACAGACTGAAAAAAGCGATGAGTCTGATGCTTCAAATAAGAAATTGGAAATGAACGATGATTCTTCCTTAAAAACGCTGGAAGAAAATGCTGATGCTGTTCTTCAGGCCAATATTCTTCCTGAAATTAACGGCCTTAAGCGGACCGGAAAACCTTGCAATCCCAGACCACTAACAAATCAATTTTCCAAGACTGCTAATGGAACTCATGAATCTGAAAGAACCGAAAACAATAGCAATGACGAGGAAGAAAATTCAGGAAGTGTTGAGGAGAGTGAAAACAGCAATGCGCCTGATCTTGACCTCGACAAAAGTGACCTTGTATCCGGAGAAGCATTAAACAACCGCAATACACAAGATGCACCTAGAAATCGCGCATCCCAGCTTTTTAAGAAGCCCACAAAGTCAGATGAGTCAGCCGCTGTAGCTGAGACAAAGTCGGATTCGCTAGAGTTTCGTGATGAAGAAAATATACACAAAGAATCTACTGCTAATCACGGTTCACTTAAATCGATTACGCGCTCAGACAAGTCCTACAAGTCGTCCACAGAGACCTCAAAATCCGAACTAACAGTGTCAAGCACGGCCAGAGAATCAGAAACTCCGCAGAATAATCAAGAACCTGAAGAGTCTGTTTCCAAAAAAATTTCGGGACCGACGATTGGGCTTTACAGCATAATGTACAAATCTCTGGACAATTTAGCCGCCTATGTCCTCGAAACCCAACCAGTTATCCGAGTTCCTGAGAACGCCACAGCGATTATTTCCAGAACAAATGAAGACATGAGCAGAACAGCTCAAGCTGATAAGGAAAATGCGTCAACCCGATATATCGGCAACAACGCACCTGCTTTATTTGAAAAACTAGCCGCACGAGCTCATTCTGCGGTTGAACTAGCGCCAACAAGGTTACAAAAACAGCTGATCGGAATAGATCCAACAGGAACTGCTGAGGATAGAAGAGAAGCTTGGGATGAGGAGAAACTAAATCTCTCAGGCGTAAGTAGGAGACAAGAGAACATGAATGAGTTTGAAAGATTATCTGACGAGGTTCCAGAAAAGTTACCCTACGCTGCTGCAGTGAATGCTTATTCAGATATTATTAGAAATCGTGCATTTAAATCCCAAAACACACAAATCTTAAAATTAGCAAACAAGGCGGAGCAAAAAAAGCAGCAAAATGAATATTATTCAAGTCGCATTCAACAAAATATGACAGGGGAAGTTTTGTCCGAGAAACAATACAGAAGTAATCAGCCACCAAAACTTCGAAGCCACCAGATACCTGAAGAATATCAGGATAAAACTGATCCTTTTGCTGTAGAAAACAATGAAAGTCAAGAGAGCAGCACAAACAAGCAGCCTCTGGACATTGCTGAAATAGATAAAAATTCTTTGAATCCTAATTATTTACATAACTACGGGGATTTAGAAAATTCTGACTATTTACATAACTACAGAAATTTAGCAGAAAAAGTGCAGGACATCTCGAAAAGCGATCACTCTCCTCAGGTACCTTGTTGCGATCCGCAGTCCAGAACTTCCGCACCTGATCTGGAACCCATCCCATACGGAGAGTCTTTGAAGCAGACTGTTGCACCTGATAATCATCCCTCGTTGTCGGAAAAACGTTCTGAGGATTATTTGAGAAATAGTATGGCTTCTCCTGATGAGAGCGCTGTCATTCCTCAAAACAGAAGGGATTCCGAATCCATTCCCACTGTCACACCTAGTAACCCAGGTCAAACAGAGCAGAAGGAAGAGCCGAAAGGTCACATGGGCTATAGTGATCTGAATACTGACCCCGGACCTGAAGATGAGAAACACCTTGATTCTGTGGCAAATAATTCTGATAGCGAACAAATTCTTGGCAGGGGTGAAGCTGACGAAAACTCAGGAAGAGATACTACTTCCAGCAATGCTCCTTTTACTGGAGCAAGCGTAGAAGTCAAAGAGGCATCTCACGTAGAAAGCAAAGACGCATACCAGATCAAGTCTTCTTCGGAAGCAAATGTAGAAAATGATGGTTCATCTGAAAATAAATTTCTTCAAAAAGAGAATTTAGAATACTCTGAAATTGCTTCCATTCGCGAGAATGCTAATGTTCCCAGAAATGAGTGGATCTCAGGCTTGCCGTGCTGCGAAGAAACTTCGGAAATACCTCATTCTAAACTCACAGGAAATGCAATGATCGCTGTTGAGAAAAATGGGTATTCGTATGAGCCAGAAAGTGGACAGAACAACTGCTTACACAACGCTTTTTCCCCGTGCAATCTCGTACAAACCAATGAACAGCTGGTTAATTTCCAGAACAATAGTGCGTTGGAGCCGAAGAATACTAAGAACGATGAATTTTTAAAATCAGAAGAAGCAGCAGATGATGAAAAGCCAACATATTCCCCAGGAATGGCAAATGGTGAAGCCGAAGAAACAGCGGCACTGGATGTGAAAACATCGCAGGAAAGAAAAGGGAATTACTACGGTGAAACAGATGCAGTGGAGGAATTGAAGGAATGTTCAGAAAGTGAAAAATTAGATAAGACAAAAGTTACAGCAAAAGAGAACTGTACGAAGCTTCGACAAAAGCATAATCACGAAAATCAGCCATTTGTTTCTGAAAACTTAAAACCCTCTGAAGTAGCCGGCTATGAAGCAACAAACGCAGACAATAGGGAAGAGCGGGAAAATTCCATACCGAGTTTGGAACTTTCTGGATACGGCGCATCAGCAAATGAACTTGAAGCTAGCAACACTCCAGGAAACATTGCCCTTAGCTCAGAAACAATCACTGGAGGTGGCGAAAACGACAAAACTACTGATGCGCAAGGTTTAGCAGAGACCACGGACGAGCATGCTACAGCTGTCAGTGAACAAACAGCTCTTTATGAAGGATATTCTGATTCACTAAAAAACGAGGAAGCTAAACCTGTAGAAACAGTGAATGAAAAAGTCGCAACTACGAGCAGTCAAACAGCTGTTTATGAAGTATCTGCTAATTCACTGGAAAATAAAGGTGTTAAACAGGAAGCTGTGAGCAGTAATGAGATGCCTGGCAAATCTGCGGGTGCAGTATATGAGTCAGAAGGGGACCACAGAAGAGCTGAGAATGCAGTTGAGTGCTGTGGCGTCAAGCAAAGAAAAACAGATGAAACCCCAGTTGTGATTACTTTGCCCTCACTGCTGAATAAGTGGCGAGAGGAGTTCCCAGTGCCCAGAATAGCCGTTGAGCGAGTTTCGATGAGCTCTGAAATTACTGATGATGCAAGTGAAAATGGACCGTTGCTTGATATTCACAATCAGATGCTAGAGGATCAGGTGAGAACTCAATGCCTTTTTAGGTTTTTAGCATTTTGAAGGCGATATACTTTGGCGAAAATATTACCAAAAAAGCTTCAATCCCGACTTTTCGCTGGACATCCGTGACACTTTCGCGACAGAGATCGTGGCGCTCTCTTCACACAATAAAGGTCATAACGGCTAACATATTTTTGCCAGCTTGTTTGGCCGCTTCTCGGCCGACACATGATCTCGCTGACAAAGCAGTTTTTGCAAATGAGTATGTGCTACCGGAAAATGTGCCGTATTTTGAGAGGCATATTATGCGAATCATTAAACATTGCAGGAGCAAAATGTAATGTAGCTAAGGTTCAGCTGGTAAAATACCATTCCGCAAGAGAAGGGCGAACACTTCCGCCTTCCCACATATTCGCTTAGTGCCACATGATTGCATAGATCCATTGCTGACTCTTTTAAGACAGACACAATGTTAGTGATGAGAAGGTGTAAATCAAGCGTCTTACAACTCAAAAGTAACATCATTTAGGAATTATATTTGCTCATCTGTGTCCTTCCCATTTGCACGATCATAAAAGTTCTTTGAATGATATTTTCGAAATGTTGCCCTTTGAGCAGTTTTTTCATGGCACGGGGCAAACTGGAAAAAACTTTCCACTTTTTCCGCCAATTCAATGAAGATAAATTACGAATGTAATATTTGCTCTAATCGGAAGTTTGGCACGAACTCTTCACTAAAAGTGGCATCTATTTTCGTGCTAAGCCTTCTGCGCTTGCAAGCCGGTGTTTTAGGAAACACAAGAGGAGAATTTGGAAGACGAATCGCAAAGACTGGACAACTGTTCGCTAGAAAAAGACCACTTTCCGGCAGATCGATGTCGCACTTGGAAAGCAACCGGCTACTGCTACACTCATATGGCAACAAGGTTCATCCACTGTCGTCGCACCTGCTGCAATCAGTTTTTCTTGAAAATTCTTTGAGAAATTTTGCTATTCACATACTGATTTCTCTCGGAACGACCTTTTCGGCCATCAGTCGTGCTCTGTGGGTTCTTCGATTTTCTAAGAAAGTCGAAATAAGATCGAATAGAAAAATCTGGCACTTTAACATTTTTTGAGATGACCGTGTTCAGCGTGTTTTAAAAATATA